GAGAGAGACAGAGAGAAAGAGAGGAATGTAATGAAAGGGAGGAATGAGAAACAGCGGCAGAAATAAGAGAAGAGAATAGTTTGCTGACCAAACTCCATTATGAAACAAGCCTTTGCCTTGTGCTCTGTATTTAGCCAACCATAAACCAATGAACTAATGAAAAGAAGGTTGGACAGTATGCGGGTATGTGGGTGGTTTAAAACTGTTGCAAATAATATTATCCTTTTGAATCCCTATTTTGTTTCTGTGCCAATGATAAATGATTGTTTGATTGTTTGATCCTGAATGGTGGCATCAGTAAATATAATTTATTTACCTCATGGTTGATCCCATGGATGTTTTGATAGAACTGGATACCCTTGTTCCAGGATGGTGCCTGATTGGTTGCTTCTGAGTTCGTCAGCCAGTAGAGGTGGATCAATTTTGTCAAAGCAAAATGGCTTTTAAAACCAATCCACAAACAAAACAATTTGCAGCGTTTGCATGGTGATCTCTCGTCACAAGCATTGTGTAGCCAAGACCACTGTCTTCAGCCAAATGGATTGGCTGTCAGTTAGCAAACACCACAAGTATTTCCTTAAACACTCTAAAACCACCACCTCTTTGTCATGGGAATCCGACCGAATCCGACCCCAGCGGGAAAGCTTTTGAGAATAACTGATATAGAAGTAGTTTCCAGTCTTCTCTCTGATGGTCTTATTTACACAGATCATATAGAGGCATCAGTATTTCATTGAGACTGTTTGATAACCAGTTGAAAAGTGTGTTTTTTCATCACATGATAGTAATAATAATAGCAACAATGGTGTTGATAATTGAGCATGTGCAGCAGCCAAGTTGCTTTTGCACTACTACTACAACTTTCAAGACTTTACCTGTCCGCCCGTGCATTCAGCCTCTATATACTTGCAAAATTGGATATAGAAAATGGGTGGATGGTCCGTCTCCCTTTTCTTTTCTTTTTTTTTTTGCTTTCACTTATAGCAATCTTTCCCACCATCTCCACCACCTTTCTATTGAACTGGTATGAAGCCAAATAGCTTTCACTTCTCTCTCCCTCTTACTGTCTCTCCTCTTTTATCATGTGGGACCAGTTCTCTCCCTTTTCTCTTTTAGAAACAGGGTCCTTGTATTTCTCTGCTCTGTTGCGTTGTAGTAAATATACTATAGGATTCTCCCTACAGCCCTTAATGTAATTTATGGATGTTTACCTGGTATCACGATGTTGCACATCAGTGGCTCAACCTGTTTGTGATTTTGTGTGTGTGTGCTGGTCTCCCTTTTTTAATGTGTGTTGCATGCACATACACGTTGTCTATCTTGCATGCACTCGTTGTGTTTTTGTGCACTTTTGTGTGTATTCGACTAGTGTATGTATTTTTGTGTGCATATGCTGGATCCTTTAATACCTCCAGACAATCGATACGCAGAGGAGCGATGTTTGGCCCTGTCTTCTTTTAAAAGATGCACTCCACAGAGTGGTGCGAGCCAAGAGTCGAGAAGTCAATAAAACAAAGCCGATAGTGCCCTCATTTGTTTTTTTGGACTTCAGCATCGAGGCCTCTGAGTCTGGGTCTGTGGGCGAATATTTAGTGTCTTGTCATTTCGAAACAAACAAATAAATCCCTTTTGTCAGATCTCTGGAAGTGCCAAACACAAGTCTATGAATATATTGACATCTGTGTTTGCTAAGATTTTGCTTTGTTTCTTTTTCTCAGGGCTGGTGGTGGACGAGGCTGAGGATCAGGGGATGAGGTTATAAAAACAACAGTGGAGAAAGGAGGAAAAACGAAAGAGGAAGTCGATTGCTCAGAAACTTTTCTTTTGTATCATCATACCCTGCAGTCCTATACGGCGCTGACTGACCCTGTATTGGATTGAGGATTACACACTCAAAAATACACACATAAACCCACTCGCTCACACCTCCCCTTCCCTAACCGCCATGTCCTCCCACCTCAACCCACCTCTTCTCATCCTCCCCATCCTTTTCCTTCTCCTTTCCCTGTCCATACCCTCCTCCTCCACCCCCTTACTCTCTTTCTCCCCACCGGAAGGAGGTCTCACACATTTAGTGGTCCACAACAAAACGGGCGAGGTCTACCTGGGTGCGGTCAACTGGATCTACAAGCTGTCTAGCAACCTGACAAAGCTACGAAGCCATGTTACTGGCCCAGTCACAGACAACCCTCGCTGTTACCCTCCGCCCGGTGTCCAGTCCTGCCCCCACGAGCTGGTGCAGACCTCTAATGTCAATAAACTGCTGCTACTCGATGCTGCCCACAACCGCTTAATTGCCTGTGGGAGTACTTCCCAGGGAATATGCCAGTTCCTGCGTCTGGATGATTTGTTCAAGCTTGGCGAGCCCCACCACCGTAAAGAGCATTATCTATCCAGTGTTGCTGAGGCAGGCACCATGTCAGGTGTCGTGATCTCCCCGGATCTTTTTGGTGGAGGTGGGAAACTTTTTGTCGGCACGCCCATTGATGGGAAATCTGAATACTTTCCAACACTGTCGAGCCGCAAGTTAATGTCCAACGAGGAGAACGCTGACATGTTCAGCTTCGTCTACCAGGATGAGTTTGTCTCCTCACAGCTGAAGATTCCCTCAGACACGCTCTCCAAGTTTCCGGCATTTGACATCTACTACATCTACGGATTCAACAGCGAGCAGTTTGTGTATTATCTTACCTTACAGCTTGACACCCAGCTCACCTCACCAGACGCAAGCAGCGAACAATTCTTCACCTCTAAAATCGTCCGCCTATGTGTTGACGATCCTAAGTTCTACTCCTATGTTGAGTTCCCCATTGGCTGCACCAAGGACGGAGTGGAGTACCGCTTGGTTCAGGATGCATATTTGGCCCGGCCAGGAGCCCGTCTGGCACGTTCGCTTGGTATTCAAGAGCACGAGGAGGTTCTGTTTACTGTATTCGCCCAGGGTCAGAAGAACAGAGCCAAGCCACCCAAGGAGTCGGCTTTGTGTCTGTTCACAATGAGACGGATAAAGGAGAAGATTAAAGAGAGGATTCAGTCGTGCTACAGAGGAGAGGGGAAACTCTCCCTGCCCTGGCTGCTCAACAAGGAGCTGGCCTGCATCAACTCGGTGAGTGTTTGAGACAATAGCTGTTTTTATGAGGCAATAAAAGTGTTTCCTTGATCATCAGTAGTCATGAAAATTATGTTTTCCCTGATTGTTGTAGAAACTTTTGGTTTGTGGCTGTGTGTTTGGTTATAACTGAAAACACACAACAGAATAGGTTAGTTCACATAACTTTGCAGTAAGTTTCAAGTGCAGTTTGTACTTCCCAGAATAAGGTTGGATTGGACAGCTTGTCTTTACCTTGAACTTTGCCAGAAGAATTTTAATGGTCATCGGTTTAGGGTGTGTTAAAATGAAGCATGTCTGGAAAGGTTATGTCCAGCTCTGAAGCATTTACTCCATTAAAGTAAGTTTGTTTGTCTATGTAGGTAAGACATTTGCTGTGGAAATGAAAATGAAAATCAGTTATTTTAGAACTGCTGGGCAAAATCTTAGTAGTGAGAACAGAATCAAAGCCAAACCATCCAGGATGGCAATGGCAATGTTTGCGGTGAATTCCAACATTAGTCTAATGTTTAGCTGAAATTTCCGTAAGTGAGTGCATTTTGCCCCCATATTCTTACTGCCAAAGCCAAAATCTCCACCCTGGCAGGATGGCAAGTCACCAAAACGTCAAGCTGCTTGTTCATCTTTTTGAGTTCCCTGGTTAACCTGTGAATGGAAAGTGTGAATCTCAGCAAATTCCTAACTGTACCAAAGTAATATTTTCCATTCTGGTTTGGGCCAAAGCAACCAACGTGTAGGTGTGATTTCACATTTAGTGACACATGGAATAAATGGTGTGGCTTTTCCAATCCAGCATTATAGCACTATGGGAGAACATGTGGGCAGAAAATTCAGTATATTTACCACAATGTCCTTAGAAGCGAGGCTATATTTATGCTTAGACTATGAGTGAAAAGATGCATGGCTGCATTGTATATCATTATATGGTTCATTTCCCTTTAAAACAGTAGGCTATGTTTCTCAACTTTCAAGTTTTTATCATATCATTGGAAGCAAGGGTTGATCCTTAAAAATAGTGTCTGATGTAAACTCAGGTTAACTTACCAGGTGTAGAACTAAATGGGTATCTCTTACCACTGATATAGGCAAAAACAAAATGAATGGAAATCTTTTTTTTCTTTTTTTATCATAAAGAAATATAATATTTTTAAAATGACTACTCGTTCAGTCTGAGGACAGGACAGCTGTCCCTGAGCACCTATCTGTTTTTTTTTAGGAATAATTCAGTCTGTCCACAGGTTGTGGGTGGCTTGTCTTTCGTTTTCCTCATAGATGAGCTGGCCTAAGGGTTCCTGAGAGACATTTGTGTGTGTGTGTGTGTGTGTGAGTGTGTTTGTCACCCACATGTCTCACACACATACACGCGGCCCTGTATTCTCATGAATAATTCACCTGGTCTCACCTTCTGTTATTCAGTCGGTGCTCCATAACAACCTGCCATAAATCTCTGGACTACTCTCCACCTCTCTGTCTCTATCTCCTCTTTCTCTCTCTGCTATCCCATCTTCTTTTTCTCTCCCATGTCTTTCACTCGATCCCCATCATTTGCATAAAGATTTATTTCATTTTGCTAACCCCATTCTCCCCCCGCTCCTTCTTTTATCTTCCTTTTACTCGCTTTGCTTCTCTTCATTGCCCTCCCCCAACTCCTGTCCCTGACCTCTTTGCTTTGTCTTTAATTTTTAACCTTTAACCTCCCTCGTTTTTACACTCTTGCTCTCTTTGCTCCCCTTCAGCTTCTTCCCTCTTGTCCCCCTCTGTCTCAAGTCTTTGCTCTTTCACCATCTCTCTTTGCCCTCACCTTGACTTTCCACTGAGTGATGAGGTATAGAGTGACTTAGTGTGTAAAGCCAGCGCCTGGATGTGATCTGAAAATACAATGTGGAGTGTACAGATGATGCAGTGAAAGAGGGGAGCAGAGTTATAGGAAATAAAAGAAACTGGGAGTGGTGGGTTTTATGGGAGGAGGGAGGAAGGATTGGAAGGAAGGGAGTATGTGGATAGAGGGCAGTGGACAAGGAAAGAAGGGAAGGAAGTTGTTAGGAAGAGTGTGAAGGCAGACAGATGGAACATTTTTGGGATTAGGCAGGAAGAGGGGATGAAAGAATAGAGGAAAGAAACCATAAAATTTGAAAGAAGAAAGGCAGGGGAGGACAGAAAGGTGGAATCAAATGGGGCAACTATTGGAAGGATTAACATGGAATCAGTCCCAGCTGTACTTTTTGTGCAGTGCAAATTAGGAAACGGCATTGCCATTGTGACATGGTACTGCTGCCTCACAGAGGCTGTAGACTCTTAGTTCATAGATAGAGATTAAAGATAAAGATTGTTGTCAGTAGACTAAAGCAATAAAAAAAACTACTGACAGGCAGAGTTCCAATAATTTCCAATGGTTTTACCATTTACAGTGCATGCAATGTGTTAGCCACAACTAGTCAACTTTTAACAATGCTTTGGGGAGCAAGTATGAGCTAGTAGGTTCATTTCTGTGCTTTGTCTGGCCATATGGCAGCTGTAGAGATCAAACCTGTAGCTGTTGCATTAATGAGTGATCACTTTAATTACTTGTCTACATTGCTGCCATTTATGGTGGTATTGCCTCCCATATGTTTGAGCAACCTTTAGTCCAGACCCTCCCACTCATATTGCACTGCAAAAGAAATATGTTAGTGGAAAAAGTAACCATGTTTTAATGGAGCTCAGCTGGACAGTATGCATTTTCAAAAAACTGAAATACATTCTGCCAGTTCCTGTCATATTTGCCAAGTGCCACGGCTCAAGCAAGACTATAACAACTTGCATCTCTGTCACAAGCCCACTGGTGCTGTGCAGGCACCGTGTGGCCTTGTAAAAAAAACGTGCTGTATATGCATGCAATTATGCTAATGAGCATACAGTTACATGATTGTCCTTTATGGCCATCTGTCGTTCTGCCTGCGATCGATCAAGGTCGTGTCAGCAGAGCTCTCTCTGGGATGCCGCTGTGATGAATTTATCATCTCCTCATACAGGCATGTTCAGTGTTTCCTGACGATAGTGGTGACAGCTCGTTGCCTCTGCGCTAGTGTCATGTGGAAACTTTCATACTGGCTCATTTCAAGAGACAAGGTCGGGTCAGTCAGTCACCACTCAGATACTCCTCTCTACCTGGAAGCTATCAAAGTTCATCACGATGTATAGCACTTGAGAAAATCATTTTCTAAAAGCTGCTATTTATAGATATCGATATAAAATGTTTTGCATTGTAAAGAGAGGTTGACCTATTCACCTTTATTACAAATTATTATAAAACTCTCACATTCATATGGCAGGATTATCATTGACCACTTGTGTCAAGATTATAACTACTAAAAGGACTTTATGTATTTCACACCCTGACTAAAATTAACTTGAAATCAGTCCAAGTCCAATTTTCCTGTTGCCGCTCAGGTAGTATAATTCATACATAGGAGAGGAAGACATTTGTATGATGTTTCAGTCCTTGACAGTCTCTACAATGTCATCCATGATTGGAGTTGAGATTAAGCACTACATGTCCAGTAAGAGGGACATTTTATCCTGCCTTTGTGCTACAATGTCCTGTTACATTTGAGAGGTCTGTTGCTTGGTTTGCATGCTTGCCTTGTGGACAGCAAAGTGAACATATTAGATGAAGGGAAATGGATAGAAAAACTGTGATTGATGTAAAGCACCGAGGAGAAACAGAATGATGCAAGAAAAATTGACAGAAATATGGGCATACAGCTGGACAATGGTCCTACTGTAAGCAAGAAAAAGTTCTTTCATTCATGATGTGTAAGGCCTACTTAAAATTAAACAGCATGAAAGTGACTATTAAGCCTATTGATGCAGCCTGCTTATCATTGCACCTCTTCTTCTCACTCACAACCTATTGAAATACACAGGCTGTTGGGATCAGCATGATAGAAATGATACAAATACAAATTCACGCCTCATAACCATCTAATTTAGACATTTTCTTCAGTTGCAAAAGTAATCTGGGTGATCATTGTCTTAACATCCAATGGTACAGTACAAACAGGAGCCTCTGGAAGAATCGCAGCATGACTTTTCATGATTTGGCAAAATGTAACAAAATGTAGGCCAGAAAATGGGGCACAGGTGTCACCCACAGCCTGTAAATAAAGAGAGTGAAAGCCCAAGAATCCAAGAATTGCCTGCGGTAAATCCAGGTAAATTAATCTGATTTTACAGCCAATTTCAAAATGAAATCAGATTTCCCTCTCTATTTCCAAAATGCATATTTGCACACTTTTCCTCTAAGTAATTCAAAATTGCAAACTTCTTTTATCATTATTCTTCATACTCATCATAATAATTTTCACAAGTGTCTGCCATCAGCAGGACAGTTTGCAAACCTTTTGTTGGACAGATTTATATACAGTAGATGATACTTTGCTATTAACGTGGCCTTAAGCCCATCTAAAGCTCACTGTTTTCTTAGATGTCGATGTACAGAGGGGAATAATGCACTCCAGCAAAGACAACAAGAAAATTGTGTTCTGTTTAATGCACCTTTACAGTGTGCTACAATAACGTTTATTTCATTTCACACTGCAAGATGGATCTGAGAAAATCTTGGTTGCAATCTGTGTCAGAATATCATCTTGAGGTATGTCAGAGCAATAGATGTGTGTAAATGTAAATAGGAAAAGAAAAAGAGCACGAGGGCAGAGGCACAGTACTGGGTGGGAACTGTTGGGTCACTGTAAATAATATGGTCTAGACTGAGTCTCTTGAGGCGCTATATAAATAGAACAAAATTGAATTGAATTCCTGACAGTCCTGTGCATCAACAAAACTCCCACATACTTTTTTTTGTTTCGCTCCATTGTTTTGGTCGTTTTTTCCCTAAACTTTTCTAACGAAATGTCATGACAGCCAGTGTATAGTGCTTCATTTCATGTTGTATTCTGATTAGTTGGTTTGTAATTGTTGGTTAAAGCCACAGTCACATTGTGAGAATTTGTTCCTAA